AGGAAGGTTGGCTCCTTTTTTGAAAGATGAATATTAACAAAACCAAGAATATCATTGCCTATAACAACGGAATAATTAACATCGTCAGCTCTCGTGATATGAAAAGTATTTGTCAACTTAAAGTTATCTGCAGCAATTTCTGCTAACACACTGCCTAGAGTAGAAATGGATCTGCCACCAACTCCATGTAACATTTTAGTTTCAGGTCTTAACTCTGAAATACCGACTTTGAGTAAGATGTCCTCACGCAACAGACATACGTCGCTACCGTTATCAATGAGTGCTACCATTGGTACCCCATTGATTTGAACAACTTTACACTTTTTATGATTCATGTAGTGCTCTACATCTTCTTCAATACTATTTATATTTTGAAATCTAGTTACTGTACTCTGAACTTGTCTCTTCGACTTCCCCTTCATCTTCAACCAATTGTAGATGAGTTAACAATCTGTTTTGGAGCTCAAGTTTTCTGCCTGTAGTAACAAGACCCGCCTCCCTGAGCCTGTCGCGCAATTCACCGACCCTGAGCAGCATCACAGACGCGACGTCCATTATTCTGGCTTTGACAAATTAATGTTAGCAAAATATATTACGAAATATCTTAATATGGTTACCAATAATTAGTAATTAATAAATAACAATTGACAATAATTAATTAATAGTCCTTAATTGAATATTACCGAGTACTATTACTCTTTTGATTTTAAATGTATAAATGTTTTCAAAATATTTCTGCACAAGTTATATCAAACAACACGATCGTTTAGTCTATTACTCTACAAAAATTAATTAAATATTCAAAATAATTATGAGAAAATAAAATGGGATAAAACTCCTTTTGCTTTTCGTTCTTCTGGTCCAGTGATCAATGCTTTAGTTTAGTTTCTCCTACCACTTATTCAGTTGAGTTGTGATTATATTTTTTTTTTTTTGTTTTGACTTACGGTTTCACTCCCAACTGTTTCTGCAGCTACCCTCGGTAGTCACTGCTCTCTCACCTGCTTTGACTTGAGTTCAATACGAACAACTGCTACTACAACGATATTCGCACAACTGCTACTCTGACTTGACTTCAACATGAACAACTGCTACTACAACGATATTCGCACAACTGCTACTCTCTGTTTTCACTGCTTCCCACCATGTGCACAACTACTTGCGTTCACTATACAAGCATTTGCACTACTCTCCATACACGATATACATACAACTCTATCTCGTTTGTTTCTGCAGCTACTCTCTGTCTCGTTGTCGCCTCGTTGATTTGTTGCTTGTTGCTTTAACCGTACAAAATAAATGAAACGAAAACTCAGCGTGCACTTGAATGGTAGGCTGCAATTTGATGACTGCAAAACCCGTTCGCACTATTCACTGTCTCGTTGCCGTCTTGATGCTTGTTGCTTTAATCATACAAAATAAATGAAACAAAAACTCCGCGTGCACTTGAATGTTAGGCTGCAATTTCGTGACTGCAAAACCCTTTCGCACTATGTCCAAGATTTCACACTACAATCCGGGTTTTCAATATAGTGATTGAACAAAGATAAAATCCCGGTTGAGCCCCCAAAACCTTGTAGGTTTTACTTAGGTTTAACTTAGTTTAGTTTATTTATTTTTCACATTGATTTCGCTTAACTTATTAATTTTAATTTTACTACAATAGTTTGTTTATTATTTCATTTCCATTGGTCTTTCTTTACATTTTATACAATATTGTGAAATAGGGTTCTACTCGCGCTCTTAGAATTATTTTGACACAGCCACTTTGTACGTCTTGTTGCTATCGCTGCTGCTCACACACTGACTGTAAGAAAATTTACTTCTTCGCTCTGTTCTTTCGCGCGCTGTCAAGCTCAGCGAGGGTTGCCCTGCGCTCCAAAACAAATAAAACCTTAGAGCTATTATTACTTATCCTACATATATTAGTTAGTTTTTCCGTATCAATTAAATCAAACACTTCACGTTTTGCTCGTCATTTTTCGACTAATTTTTATTTTTACATTCTCCTTAAATCTAACATAATTTCTTATGACTAATTTCCAATAGAATCTTATCTAATGATTCTTTTGGTTAATACTTAAATTACAATCGTCTAATTGGTTAACCCAAATTAGACGTATATAATGTTTTACAACAATGTTTTACATCCCATTTTGACTAATACAATCGGACTTGCAAATTCCGATGGAGATTTCGCTATAATGTCGTTAGCTTCGAGATTTTTGATCATTTGTGTAATTATTATACGCTTTGGTGCTGGCACTCGATAAGGTGCTTGCGCAATAACCTTTTTCTATTTTAAAACAATTTGCATATCAATTAACTGTGATTTACCAATTCCCGTTAACCCGTCTGAAAATATATCGTTGTAATTTTTCAGCAAAGCTTGAAGTTTCAACCGTTGATCTGCATTGCTTACATTATTTGTTAACTCTGCAAAACATTCGTCATTTGGCGCCAAAATTGCGTGACGGCATTCAGCTTCGAGCTTTGATTGACCATGCTCCACCATAAACACTACACCTTCACGCGATATTACGTCCTGGCCCAGTAGAAAATCTGTTTCCAGCATGTCATCGGCAACAATATATATTATTGTGTTGACTTTTGCTGTGCCAATTACTATATCGATCGCACATCTCTTTCGCATCGTGTATGTGCCATCACTTATTCCCTTTAAACGTGTGTAACAGTCTTCATATTCAACTTTCAACATATCGGGTGTTGACTCTCGAATTAAACTGCACTCACTACCAGCATCAACTAATGCGTCAAACATTTTGTTATTTACGTTAATTTTCTTAACAAAACATTTCTCGTTTTGCTTCACTTCGGCCATTCGCGCGTTATACATAACCTGCTTACGACCACAATTCACCGGTTCCTCTCGTTTATGCACCTTCCCACAATCTGCACATCTTAAATGTCTCTGTTCTTTTGAGCATTTACTTGATATGTGGCCTATCTCACCACAATTGTAGCACACAATTTTTTTATTTTCACCACTAGCTGTTGGCTGATGAGTTGCGTTCTTTACATTGGTTCTAATCTCCAGCTTTTGTTTAAAAGTAGTATCTTTAACACGATTCGTTAACCATTCTTCAATTATTTCGCGCATTTGCTTATCGTTTTCAAATTTGCGCTGCTATAGCAACTTGTAAATCACGATGATCCTACCCCCGTCGCGTATACTGAACAATAGAGGATTCACTTAGCTGAAAACGTTTGCCTAAGGCATAAACTCTAAAGCAGTAATCGGATATATGTTCACCTGTGTTACGTACTGATTCACTCATAATGCGATGCACTTGTGCTTCGTTGTAAGTTACACAAAATTCATTTTTTAGTTCTGTTGCAAAATCATCCCAGCTAGTGTGCACAGTAGGTAACGCATCTAACCAGACACGCGCCACTCCTTTTAATCTACCGTAAACAGCCAATAAAACACATTTCTCGTCTATTTGATAAGCACTCATGACACTACCAACACGATCAATGAACTGCTGAACAGTTAGCGACTGCTTGTTAGTTGGGTCAAACTCCGGAATCATGTCTGCTATTTCCTTAATTGACCGAAACCCGCCGTATGCGTTTGTAGAAATTAATGGCGTTACAGATTGACTCACACTTTCCTCTAATGACTGATTATTCATAGGCGTCTGCACTACATTTGCGTCAACTGTTTGTTGCTTGCTCTGTTGGAACATGCTGACAATAGTTTTCATCATACTACGCAAGTCATTGATTTGCTCCTGTAACCCAACATGCATTACCGTTGGAGCTTCAATCTCATCAGTACCGAATAATTTTCGGCATTGTTGATTTTGTTGACGTTAAACGTATTCGTATATTATTGTTTAGTTTCGTTGTCAATTTACATTAACAACTCGTTCGTTTTTTTCAATCGTTCAATCGTTCTTCCTTTCTTTTTTTTTTATCTGTTTCTCTCGTAATTCACAACTTCGTCAACATTTTATGACCTATTTTAATTGAGCTTTTGTTGTCTTATTTTCGTTTTGTATACATTTTCTTATTATTGCGCTTTTCAACTTTATTTGTGTCTTTTGTACGCATTAATCACAATTAGGTTTACACGCAAAATATAATTACAAGAATTTCACAACTTTTCGTATGTTGCGCGCACAAAACATGTCTATTGGAGCGCTAGGGCTGCTACGCATTTATACTTAAAATTTGTCCGTAAAATTTGTTCAACACACTTTTATTTATTATCCCACTTCTGAACTGTAAAATAAATGCTTCAAACACTAAATATTTGTTTATCGATTTATTTATGTGTTGAACTTTTAAATATTACAAAATAAAAATATAAACGAATGTTATACCGCGAGCGACTGCGTTCAACGTGCTGTCTCAATGAGAGGTAAGCGACAACTACTTACTTTCATTATTCGCCCTCAACAGGGTGATCTTCATTCACACATGAGCATTGAATCTATCAATGAGCTATGCCATCTTTTGAAAAATCTGGAAAAGCAGGACACCAGCTTTAGATGTGCAATTTGTTTAAGAAAACGAATTGCAATTGCACTTTACTGTCTTGGCTCATCAGCTGAATTCAGAAGCATTGCAAATCTGTTTGGCGTTGGAAAGGCCACAGTTTGTAAGAGTTTGAAATAATTTTGTGCAGAAGTGTGGAAAACTCTTTTGCCTTTATATATGAATGCTTTGCCATTAAACAGCGAAAAGGTTAAAGAGTGTATTAACGGATTCGAAGTCTTAGGTTTTCCACAATGCTTTCTAAATGAAAAAAATAATGCATTAAATAAAGACTGGATGCACGCTCTAAGAAGACAACAGCAGACTTCTCAACGACAACAACCAGCAGAAGTTTCAACACTAAATGACCACGACCCAAAAACTAATAACAGCAATAAAGATATAAAAAAATTAACTATGAATATGAAGATATGATATATAAAAACTAATAACAGCAATAAAGATATACAAAAAAAATGGTCAGTCCAGAGCTTTAACTATATCGGTACTATTTTTATTAGCAGTATTAAATACGCAGTTTCCTGCGTATTACCTTTAGAGATGTCAGAACTGGAGCACCATGGTAATGCCGCTGGCAATAACGACGACGATGCACAACATGAAGTGGATGGTGCTGGTTCCTGGTCTAATTAAAAATGAGTTACTTTATTTATGAATTCAAGAAATATATGTATAAACGTATCTGCAAAACTATTTGAAATTAGCCAAGTAATGTTGTGGAGTGGACTTTGATCACATATTATTGCACGTACTTTCAATTCCAATTGCGCTGCACAGTCTAAATTATTCTGTAATAACTGTCGTAGTGATGGTCCTTTGATTGAATTATGCATAACAACTTAATTCAGAACGAATTTCCAATTTGATGAGTCCCCTTAATAAATTTCCAATTTATGAGTCCCCTCAACATAAAAACACAAATATGCTTACCTATCTCATCTGTCCGTTTATTTCCTAAATCAACCAGCCCACAAATTACGTTTGCAGAGGCATTGTAAGTCAAATTTTTTTTGTAACAATTTCATCAAATATTAAAATGTATTTTAATCCATTTTTCTCAAAATGGATTATTAAAATGCAGTTCATTTTGAGAAATGTTTTTTCAAGCGCTGTATAAATACAAATATTATGTCCAGGCTGTAAATTTTTATTTCATTTCATCTCAGCAGTGAAGAAGGACTTTGAGCAATATGCCGTTCATTCAAATTCCAGACAGTTGTAGCTCCTCGATTAGCATTAGCATCAGCATTTTAAAGAGCACTTTTTCATTATCAATGCGAGTAATATCCATTTTATCAATCAATTCATTTACTTACAAATTTGATTTTAATTGCCTTTTAAACTGAATTACTGATTTCTTCCAATCCTTATTTTCTCCTTTTAAACGACGATTTAATTTAGAGTTTCTAATTAGTTTCTTCCCTAATAAAAGATTCTTGTTTTGATAAAATTTAACGTTCTTAATATTTTGAAAATAACTGCCACACAAAGAGGAAGGTGATTCTGATCTCATCCGTTTTCGAATTAGGGATACTAGAATTGCTATGTCGATATCATCTTTAGTTTTTCGTTCATCATCGGTTTTATCATAATTATGTAAACACAACGACGGAAGATTTTTTTGTCCAATAACTTCGACAGAAAAATGATTACTACATAACTACAATGAGATGTTGTTTTCAACAAATTCTTCACTTAATTTACATTTGTCTGCTCACTCCTTAAAAATAGTGGAATTATAGTTTGGAAATTTAAATAGTTTTAATTCGGGAAAATTTCTTTTGGATCTCTTACAGTGAGATAAACAACACTTATTACCCGCAATCGCTTTACGATTCAGTTTACCATAGAGACTAAGTATAAATAAAACTATGAATAAAACTTTCTTTTTTTACGAACACAAATTTTTTTTACAATTAATTTTAGAAATTTATTCTATATTTATAATTACATATTCATAATTAATGAAATTAATTTTCAAGTAAACATTTATAATTACCATAAAATTTAATTTGATTATTTTTATTTTATAAGTTGTTTTTTCTAATTTTGATTATTTAAAACTTCGTTGTAGAAGATTTTTTTTTAAATATATACATATATAGTTTACATGTCCCTACCCATTCTTTTTGTACCAGCGATATACGCATACGGCATTTTATTGACGGTGCAGTAATGCACTCATCATTGATTTTTTACTCCTTATTTTTATTATTATTTTTATTGCATTTGGGTTTTATTTCACTTATTTGTTATTATTATTCTTTATTTTATATTTGTATTTATTTAATTTTATTTTCTATTTTCAATTTTTATGTATTTTTATAACTAACCCTTAGTGGGTATTTTTATATAATTTATTACACATTATGTTTTTCTCCTTACTCTTTATTGATGTATCTTAGTTTTTATTGTAAGTATTAACTTGGGATATAGATTGTCGGGTTTGTGGATTTTTCTTGTTGATGCTCGGTTTTTGGATGCATTTATAACAAAAGTATAGTGGTATTATTATTATATGTATATGTGATTTGGGTAAAATATGTATCGATTTGTTTTTTCCATGAATAGGGTAGAGGTATAGGGTAGTTATAGTAGTGACCTATGTTTTTTCAGTTATTTGATTTTATATAAAGATAGTAAAATCCAAATGCACCTTTTAGTTGAGAGGTTCACGAACCACTGATTTATTCTTAAAACATATTATTAATAATAGCAAAAACAAAACAAATGGAAAGCTGCGGCTATTAAAAGCTTTTTTTTTGGTTGTAAATAAATGTTAAATAATTGAAATTAAAATAAGTATAAGAGTACCCAATTGACTTAACACATTGCAAGCCAAGTATTTTAATACTTTCTTCTTTATCGATATCAATGACTTCATTTTGATTTGATTTTTCCACCGTTTCTATTATATCCATGCTGTTAGAGCACCATTTTCTCAAATGAAATCCATACTTCTCCAAATGTGCCGATATTCTTCGCTGAACGCTTTTGCATTCCTCTTTTGTATCACTACCAGTTAGAAGATCGTCCATATAAAAATCATCTTTAATTATTTTCGATATCTGATTATCCTGACATTCATTTGCTATTTCAAATAAAGTTCTTATAGCTAAAAATGAAGCAGGGGCAATACCGTAAGTTACAGTTGTTAACTTGTATTCTTCAATTGGCTGATTAATCTCGCTTCTCCACAAAATATGTTGGTATTTCTGATTATTTGTACTCACCCATATTTGTCTATACATTTTTTCTATGTCAGCAACCATGGCAAACTTTTTTAGTCGAAACTTCAATAGTATATCAAAAATATCCTTTTCATTTAAACTATTTTTAGTCGTGGTCTTTGTTGAAGTATCAAAAACTACTCTCACCTTGGTAGTGATACTATTCGCTTTTACTACGACTGTATGAAGTAGATAATATTTTCTTTGTCTTTTTAAACTCACTTTTTTCACATGCCCATCAGCTACATACTCTTTTATGAATTCGACAAATTCTCTCTTTAATGATGGGTTTACCTGTAATCTTTTTTCAAGTTTATGAATCGTGCCGTCGCCATTTTGTATGAGTCGCCAAGTTGGTGTTCTTCTTTGAAAGGCAACTCAACTACAAATCGTTCATCTTCATTTTTGGTAGTTGTCGCAGCATAGTTTTTCATACAATATCCGCCTTCCAATGTATCTTCATCTTCTGGAATTTCTTCTATTTCCCAAAACTTCTCTATGTTGACAACGTTGAAAGAGATGAATCCTTTATCGCTTCTTTTTGCATGTAAAATACCTGACAATATCCAACCGAACTTTGTTGATTGCGCCAATACTTTTTCTTTTCTAAGCAGCCCGTCTTCAAGAATTTCACCATATAGATCACTTCCTATGACTGTATATATTGTGAAGACAAAATTTTGTAACACTTTTCTTTTTTAAAATATATATTGAAGTAATATAAGAATTTTATAAAGCTTAACAAAATTTCACTCACATATTAGGAATTCCAGTGAAATTCCTGAAATAAAATTATTTTATGAATTGAATAAATGAATTTCACTTGAACATAAACTCACGTTTTTATTTTTATTTGTTTCATCTCGCTGTTGTTGTAAAAATAAGAATAGCTGCATACAAATTGAAGCCGGCACCAACAATTATTATTATAGAAAATAGCCCCACGTAAATTAGTTGACACGAATATTGTTATAAAATTAATTTATAAATTAAATATTATTAAAATCACTGGAATTATTTTTAAAAAACATGGAAAAAAATTACAACGTGTTTGTAAAAATTATGAAGATGATATACGCGAATGTCAAAACATAATTCTCACAGGGAATTAAAACCGGCAGCAGAAGTTAAGGAGAAGGTGAGAAAAGAAAGCAAGAGATCAACTAACACATGTTTTGTATTGAGTAAAGAAGCAGGGCGAATTCTAAAACAAACGGCAATCAAAACAAATAACAGCTGAAGCAATGTGTGCGCTACAGGAAAAGCTTCGGTCGATTTAGTATAAATTAGCGTACGTGTTAGAAGAAAAATGACTTGTTGGAAAACTCTCAAAGGCAGTCATACGTCTTTGCGATAACAAGGAATTCGTAGATTTGCATAAAAGTCAAGGTAGTTCATACGTCTTGACTAGTAGCTTTGTAAAAAAAACGTCAAGGTAGTTTATACGTCTTGACCAATAGGTTGATGTATGTAACCCGAAATAAAATTCCAAGTTTAAATTCCAAATTTTGGTCCCCTTTTTTTTATTTTTTATTTTTTGAATTATAATTCTAAAATAAATTCAGTAACTAAATATTTTATCTTTGATTTTTGGAGAAAAATTATATTGCAACGACACCTGGACGACGGCTGAGTATACCTCAGCATCATCAGCGACAAAAAGTGTGTCGTTACAATATTCTATCCGATTTATTGAAATTCGGGTCCACTAAAGTGATATTTTTCCACTTATCTATATTGTAGCGGAAGGTTTTATCTGGTTGACAAGATACCAATAATAGTAAAATTAATGCTTCCGCCTTTATTTTATATTTACTGGCGAATCGTGGGTATAACACAAGACTTATTTTTGCCTTTGCCACGCCAACCGACGCACTGTGGGGTAAAAGACCCTTAAAATGGCGATCAATTCACCTGAGTTGAAAAGCTGATTGTTGACTACTTTTATATATATATATAGAACGGAAGAATATAAAAAAAAAATTTTTTATTGTTTTTTTTTTTTTACAAATTTTTCATTAACATATTGAATTTTGGTTAGTTTTACCGTAATCATATATACAGTGGTGGAAGAAATAATAAGAACGAAGAAAAATGTTGTGTTTTTATTACTAATTTTTTTAATTATTCAATTTAAATTTCAAATGTATGGTTTTTTCGAAACTTTACTTTCAAATTTATCAATTCAAAAAAAAAATATGCACAGGTTTGATAGAATAATAAGAAAAAAATGGGATTTTCTTCATTGCCCTTGGAAAAAAAAATAAGAACTTAGCACTAGAATACTTTTAAAATTGAATTTAGTCTTTCAGATGTATATTTTATAGCATGAAAATATTCCTGAGACTAATATTTCGTTGTCGAGCCACCATTTTTTACAACTTCGGAACATCGGCGACCCATTGAGTCCACCAACTTAGCGCAAACCGACTGGTCAATAGAATACCATGCCTCCAGCACTTTATTCCATAAATTTTGCATATTTCTCGCATTACAGCCAGCCAATTTCCGTTTTAGAATCCCCCATAGGTGTTCAATTGGGTTTAGGTCTGGACTCTGCGATGGCCACTCCAAAACCGGAACACTGTTCTCCCTGAACCAATTTTTTGCAAGGCGCGAGCTATGTTTTGGATCGTTATCTTGCATGAACTGCCACTTTAATGGCATTTCTTCCTCGGCAAAGGGTAACATCACATTATTAAGTATCTTTACATAATCTGTAGCGCACATATTTTTTTTTAACCAAAATATTGGACCGACACCTGAGTGAGAAAAGCAGCCCCAAACTTTGATATTGCCACCACCATGTTTTATGGTTTTTATAGTATGCCGCGGATCATATTCAGTGTTCTTCTGACGTCTTACGTAACGTTTACCATCAGACCCAAATAAATTTATCGTTTATATCATTTAAATAAATATAAATAAATAAATAAATAAATAAATAAATGATATATAAATTTATATCAGACCACAACACGTTTTTTCAGTTTTTGCGCTTGAGGTGTTTCTGGGCAAAAGCAATTCGGTTTCGCATGTGTATTTTCTTCAGGTATGGAACCTTTCTAGCAGAATGCGCTTTTAAACCTTTTTCTATCAATCTATTGCGTATAGTTCGGCTAGTCACTGGTGCGTTTAACTCTTGTTTCAGCTTTTCCGATGACAAAAACGGGTTGATTTTGGATTTCCGAATCAATAATTCATCGAACTTTTTAGTTGTAGCTCGCTTTCTGCCACGTGTTTCACTTTTAGGCTTAAAATGAATGACGGAATGCACTTTAGTTTTAGAGCACCCCATAATATTCGCGATTTGGCTTAGACTTTTCCCATCAGTTTTTAATTTTTGGATCAAATCTCTTTTAATATCTGTACAATGTGTTCCGCGACCCATTTGAATTCTATTTACCGCAAAAAACGAACAAAAATTTACGTGAGAAATTATTTTTATTATAATTAGTTAGTAATCAACAAAAAATACCTGTTATAAGGTCTTTACATGATTCCAATGAAAATAAAACATAAATTTCGCGCCCGTTCTTATTTTTTTTTCCAACATAAATCTGACCTTACTTCAACTCATGTTATGTGGTTCGTAATGTAGGAGACATAATCGTTATTATTATTTCTTCCAGCACTGTACATTATAAAATACAATCCTTATTGTCAGCATCATCACCATTATCGTCATCATCATCGTCATGACCATCATAATCATCATTATCATCATCATCTGATCATCATTATCATCATCACTGATACATTGGGAATTAGTATTTTTTACAGGTGGTGATTTTAAAAGATCTAAAGCTAATTGTGGTATATGTTGAAACTTTTTTTTATTCAGTTCTCTAAGGCTTGAAATAACGGGATCAGAACTAATGAGAAACCTATTCAAAATATCGTAATTGGTCTTTTCTCTGCTACATTTACATGTAAAATGTTCTCTATATTTTTTAAATTCTTTGTTAAGAGCTTCTTGCGCTTCCTCCGTTAATTGGCCAATTGGTAACATAGCGTGCGATATTATTTCCGGACCATGAATAAAGTATTTATGTAGCGTAGGAGGCATATTATACCAAGCATATTTCGATACAAAATGTCTAGCAGTTTCATGTGCAAAACATCGAAACCTTTTAATTTCTATTTCATGGCCACAAGAAACAACAATCAATATGATATGCATCCTTTTTATTAAATCTAAATCAACACTAGTGATTTCAGCCGATAGCTCTGCATTTTGAAAGAATCTTCTGGCTGTATTCCCATCATTTGAGTTACCAAATCCAGGTTTTGGTTGATCAACGATTAAACCAGCTCTATCTTTGAAGTCTTTTTGAATACGTCTCTTTGTTTCCATGACAATTTTTTTATCGTATTCTGACTTTGCTTGCCATTTTTTTATGGGTAATTTATATGATAAATGCAGTAGACATTCAAAAAACTTTATCCAACCATGCAATACCGACAACCCAAAACTAAGACTAGAAGTTTCAACATTTTTAGCAATCATTTCATCAACTGAATTAAACTTTGCACTAGTTGCACCGCATAAGTAACACTTTTGAGTTGAAGTTGTTTCAGTTAAGGCATTGCATACTTTTCCATCTACCATTGTTAACAGAAAACTATGTCTCACCTCAACTGTTTTGTTTTCGAATACCACAATAGACTTATCAATATTTTGAACCTCTTCTTCAACCATTTGTTTTTCTTCTCTACAAACGCTTGCGCTTTCTTTTTTATAAAAGATCTTAAAGGGTCTGCAAAATCTGGTTGAAGATGGTCTCGGGTTTTGCCAAATAATTTTGTCACCACAAAGTAACCTTAATGGAACAAACGATGTTATAAAAACAGCAGCATCGCTGGCATTTGGTCCATGAAAGGCCTGTTTAAATGAGGTATGACCAGAGCTTCCATCAAATCCCCACTTAGTTTGTAAACAAAAACTTGCTAATTCTTTTTCGCATAAAGTAACAATAACGGAATTTTGTAACAGTACTAGACGCTCCACAGTATGGTCA